CAGATCCACTTCGGTTGAAGGAGCTTTAATGTCCACTGACATTTCCGCAGCTGAAACATCGATATCAGTTTTTGGCACAGACATATCAACATCCACCGTCCCTTTCAACTTTGGCATTTCAACGTCAAGTTGTGGTTTTTCCACTTCAGGCATTTTTAATTCAAAATCAGGACCTTTGATGTCAATCTTCCCAAGACTAAGATCACCTTCCAACTTGCCTGTTTTAACATCTACACTCTGTACTTTGGCATCCGTGTCAGCTTTCGGTAGTGAGATATCGACTTTGGGAAGGTTCACATCCCGATCCAATTTTGCAGCTTGTATATCGGGTCTGGAAATTCCAAATTTTGGAACTTTGAATTTAGGCAGTTTCATTTTTCTACCTTTTCCATCAATGTCAACATCTGGAGCCTGCAGATCAGCTTTAAGTTCTGGAGCAGTTATGTCCAATTTAGGACCTTTAGTATCTACCTCTGTTTTTCCAACTGAAATATCGATATGTGGCTTGCTCACACTCACATCAACTTCATGTCCTTTGAATTTTGGAAGAGAAATCCCAAATGATGGCATTTTCACGGATGGCATTTTGAACTTTCCTCCATCACCTTTCATCTTCATATCTCCTGATTCTAAACCCACATCTACTGTTGGCAGATCCACTTCGGTTGATGGAGCTTTAAGGTCCACTGACATTTCCGGAGCTGAAACTTCGATATCAGTTTTTGGCATAGACACATCAACATCCACCGTCGCTTTCAACTTTGGCATTTCGACGTCAAGTTGTGGTTTTTCCACTTCAGGCATTTTTAATTCAAAATCAGGACCTTTGATGTCAATCTTCCCAAGACTAAGATCACCTTCCAACTTGCCTGTTTTGACATCTACACTCGGTACTTTGGCATCCATGTCAGCTTTTGATTGTGAGACATCGACTTTGGGAAGATTAACATCCTGGCCCATTTTTGGAGCGTGTATATCGGGAGTAGAAAATCCAAATTTTGGAGCTTTGTACTTTGGCAGTTCTATTTTTCTACCTTTTTCTTCAATGTCAACGTCCAGTGCCTGCAAATCAGCTTCAAATTTTGGAGTACTTATGTCCATTTTTGCATCTTTCATATCTACCTCTGGTTTTTCAACAGAAATATCAATATCTGGCTTGCTCACATCAACTTCAGGTCCTTTGAATTTTGGAAGATAAATCCCAAATGATGGCATTTTCACGGATGGCATTTTGAACTTTCCTCCATCACCTTTAACCTTCTGATCTGCTGAGTCTAAATCCATATCAACTGTTGGAATTTGGATGGCCGTTGATGGCGCTTTGATGTCCACTGACATTCCCAGATCTGAAACATCAATATCAGTTTTGGGCATGGACACATCGACATCCATCACTTTTGGCATTTCAGTATCGACTTCTGGTTTTTCCACCTCAGGTATTCTTAGACCGACATCAGGACCTTTGATGTCAATTTCACCAAGACTAAGGTTACCTTCCATCTTGCTTGTGGTGACATCTATACTTGCTGCCTTCACATATGTATCAGCTTTTGTTTGTGAGACATCGACTTTGGGGAGGTTAACATCATCGTTCATTTTAACATGTTCTTTGTCAGGTTTGGATGAGACAAGTGCCTGTCCTTGTGTTTTTGACTTCTCTATTTTCTGTCCTCCTTTTATCTGCATCCTTGGAATTTCCATGTTTTCCTCACTTTTTGTTTGATAAGAATCCCAGTCTTGTTCCCTCTCATGTGTTTGATATTTTTTGCCTGAAATTTCAATCCGTTGCTCCCTCTTGCTGATCTCCGTGATTGAATCAACCTCTGCTGGCTCAGTGTGCCTTGTTGTGAGATTACCCAGCAACCTTGCTGGTAGCGTCTTTACTGCTCGGTCTGTGTTATCTCTGTCTGTTTTTGAATCTTTGGCATCAATCTTCGTTAAGCTAACACCTATTGCAAGTGTTGAAGACTTCGTTTCTTTTTCAGAAGCCTTACCCCTGGCTTCCTTCTTTTTGGTCTTTTTGCTTTTTATTTGCTTATCAGTCTTGGATTTCTTTGTTTCTTTTCCAGATTTTGGAAATGATTTGTCAGCAACCTGCTTGCTGACACTTGTTTCTTGCTCCTCATGTTGTGGCAATGTAACATCAGCTTTTACATGTATGCTACTCGGTTGTTTCTGTGAGACAACCTGTTGTGTTTGTTGGCCGGTTACTTCAGCGTATTCCTCCTCTATTTGTGACTTAGCTTTGGTTATTCCACTGGCCGTTTTCAAGTTACTTTCTGAAGCAGTGGTCAGAATAGCTGATAGTGTGTTATTGTCTCTTTTTGAATCATCAATTTGAATTTTGTGCTGTTCCATGTTTGTATCTGATGTTTGCAAATGACTTTGTTCATCTGGTAACTTTGTTCCAACATCAGTTGTGGGCTCAATTGGTTCTGAAAGGATAAATTTTGCTATTTTCAGTTTTGGCATTTTCAGTTTGGATTCTCTGTTAATATTGTCTGATTCCATTGCATTGCTTTGATTCTCCAGCTTTCGATCAGATTGCTTTATTGCTGTTGTTGCGGTGCCATTTGTGTTTTGTGCTATACTGTCTGCATGGATTGTGAACTTCTCATATTTCAAAGCAGACAACTCCTTGCTGCCTGATACAGGTTCTCGTCTTTCCTGCTCAGAGTCTTCTGTTTTCCCCATTTTTATTCCTCCTGCACCAATATGTGGAAGTTTTATTTTTCTTCTACGTTTTTTTGCTTTTTCAGCAGTTTCTGCTGTTTTTAAATGGGACTCTATATCTGTGCTTGTTGCAGTAACATCGTGTTGTTCACGTTCTTCTGTTTCTGATAGGCTGTGTGATCTGTCCAGTCTGTATGTCTTTGTTTTTTTGAAAGCTGGAAACTTGGGGCAAGAAAATGTTACATCAGGCACCTCTGCCGCCTTTGTCCGTCCCTTCTGTGTTGCTTCTTGCAGTTGTGCTTCTGCTGGCGTGCTCATTTCTTCAGAACCATCTCTTGTTATTTTTGTTTTATTTCCATAAAGTGTTGAAAAAAACTCTTCTTCTGCTCCCTGAGAGAAAGTATGCACTGTTATTTCAGCAGTTTTTTGTTTAGCAAAATTTATAAGATTGCAATATTGTTAGAGAGAGACAAGCAGACATAATTAGCGATGGGAGAGATATTAGGAACTGCAGATGCTGGAAAATCTGAGATAACAAGATGTAGAGCTGGATGAACACAGCAGGCCAAGCAGTATCATAGGAGCA